ATTTCATTGTATTCAGTTCAACACAACTATTTTTGTAGTCATACAATTCCACATAAAAGTATCCTAAAATGAAAGGACAATGGCTGATAAATTGGATGTGCACATCGATACTTTGAGTGTAGCATCGTGTGGTTGTTGATAGTTTACTGCTGTAGTGGTAATTTTATTTGGAAAGTCCAACTTTTCAAGCAAATTTTTTTCTTCTTCTGAAAGCCTAATGACGAGTATGTTGCTAATGTCTTTACCAGCTGATCGTACCGCACAGAAAACAAGACAACGCAGCAAACTGCATAATTACTTTTCAGTTATGCATTTATTTGTGTTACATTGTTTTTGACAATAGACACATTAATTACCGTGGTTGTTTTGTTTTTTGAAAATCAGTAAAGAATGAATCAAATATTTCAACGATTTGGCAACAGTTAGGCGTTTGTTATCGGTAGTTTTTTATTTTGCGGTTTTTTTTTTTTTTGTTCTGTAAACGTATTTTGAAACAAAATTTAAGGGCTTGTTTCAAAAGGTTATTGTGAGTGAATTGGTTGAAACTGGTTATCTTCCGCTTTTGTGCATGAATGCTGTCCTATGATCGCTCAAAAACTGCTGACGACAGTTTTTGGACAGCGATTGTAGTTGATTGCTTTTCATTCGCAAAGTAGATGACCAATATTTTTTAAAGCAAAGCAGCCAGGCAGCGAGTAAAAATTTTCTAATGCTTTTTTGGTGTAGTCACAGGTGACAACTGTCGAAACTAATGATTCATTGTCAGCCTTTATAGCAGTGATTTTCACATGGACCATCGTACTGCAGTAAACTTGATTTTTGAGAAAAAGGACTTTTTTTGGGGAAAGTTTTCATTATAGAAGATTTTGATTACTGTAATTAAGATACTTGTCAACAGCGAAGATGTACTATTTGTTTTACAGCTTAATTGACAACTTGTCAGATTCTGGTGATATATTGTTAGTTGACTTCAGAAAAGCGTTGCTTTTGGTGACCATATTTGCCAAACAAAATTTTTTTTTGGTAAAGAAAGAGCAAAATTCAGTTATTAGAAGGCACTACGTTCTGTCACTTGTATATTTTATTTGTGAGAAGCTGATATTTAAATTGGCATTTTCAATGGTTAGCTGCTCTTAGGAGTTCTTAAGGAAAGTTAAACAACGAATTCTAGGGACAATCATTTGCTTGAAATTGTCTCAGAAATAAGCAGTTACACACAAAAAACAGTTCAAACATTCGGATCAAACATTCAACAGCAGTGCATCATTTTCACTGTTGGATCGTAAATACTACAGAAAGGCGTGCCGTTTCACCGGTTTTTCTGGTACACTAATGGTGCAGACAACGGCATATTTGATATAAATCTTCTGTTTGTTAATAAAAAGTTTTTATACAGCCATCTCCAGGTACAGAACTATCAGGTTGATTCAAAATTGCAGTTATCAAACTGGAATCGAGTAGTTGGTTTGAGACAAGTAAAAAACAGTTTCTTGCTGCTGTCTATTCCTTACTGAAAACAAAAGAAAAAACAATTTTTTAGGTACTGCAGCAAATTTCAAACATTAATTTTTGTCATCTTCTAAACAGTCATTAAAGACATTATAAATGTAGGTAGTATCTAATTTTTTAGCACTTAAGATTTATCGGCGTATTTTCGTTTTCAATTTTGTTGTTGAAACAAAACAACCATGCGTAGAGTTGTTTAAAATGGCCGTCAGGAAAACACAACTGTTAAACTACGCTGAATCGTTTTAAAATCGAGAAATCAATCACAGGAGACCTTGTTTTTATTTGCATTTTTTTGCACCGTAGCGTTTTTCATTATTAATAATTTCAAGTGTACTGCTCTAGTTTGCACTGTAAACTGTTTGATTTGAAGTCTTCTTCGCACTTGTTAGAATTTTTATTTTAAATGGCTATCGTTAAAGCAAGTGTAAGCGTAACTTGGACAAAAATTGGCTGCTCTGCTATCTATACCTTTACTAGATTCCACTGAGCAAAAAGTCAGTAGGAATGAAGTGCAGCACAATTTACCATTACTTTTCTTACGTGATCGAAAGCTTTAATTTTTTACATTTGTTCTTGCTGTTTTATTTTTGGTTTACAGCACTCTTTTTATGCTTAGCCGATTAAAATTTTTTTCGCACGCTTGTTTTAATGCAGTTCATTAGGCAGTAAAAAAATGCTGGATGAGCGACGGTTTAACTGAAATGCCGAAAAATAAAGTGTTATTACAGCGTCTATTAAGCCAATTGTGAAAGTTAAGGCGGAACAGAACGGGATATCCCTTTTTTTTTTTCTTTATTAGTGAGTGGTGAACAGTACAGCTCAGTGAAATCTTTTAGTCTGGTCACTCTTGAAGTATTTCAAGCAAAACTGGCTAATGTATTAGACTGTTTAAAAAATATCAAGTGTTACTAAAAACGGCTTGTCTTGCACGGACGATCTTTCGTCCTTGTCGTGTTCCCCTTTCCTCCTTTTACAGATGGTTTTTCAAGGAAAATTTTTTCTGGGGACCTTTGACAAAAAAGAAAATTAAAAATTGTTGTAGGATGACGAGGAGAGCGGAAAAAAAGGAATAAATTTTTTAAAGCTTTGTGCGTTATTTTGTTTAGAGTGAAGTAACAAGAGTGTAAGAAGGAAAGCTTGCGTAAACTTTTTAACTTTTTATATATTTTCAAAGAAATTAAATAGATGGGTCTAAGCCGATTGTTTGTTGAGAAAGTTATTTTTAAACGTTTGTACAGCTAGCTTTATACTGCTATTCTTTTCCAAAAAGATTAGTGCTTGTAGAAACAATAGTCATTCTTTCTCATCAAAAGAACTGAGCTTAATTTTCAAGATGTCATGAATAGCTATTTAAAAGAGTTACAGCGTTACTGATAGAACACAGCTAAAGAAAATGAGATCAATTTTGTAGCTATCAAACTTTGGCGGTAAGCATAAAAACTGGTAGAGGAGAAGGAATAGTTCAAAAAATGGTTTTTCGTTGTGGTAATGGCGGTTGATTTTGATAACGTTTGAAAGCTTCAGGTATTGACACATGTGAATTTGTACCTTCCCTATTCAAACACTGTAGTAATTGCTATAAGGCGAGTTCCACATTAACCGAACTTGCAGACAGAAGGACGGCCAAAGTTCAGTCATAGATCTGTAGTTTTTCCTACTGCATTTTTCTTGTTTTACAACTTCAATACGTGTCTGATGCGGTAAAACAGTTACTTCTTACTCAAATTTAATGCTTACTTCCAACGTTTTTTGAAGCAGAAACATTTGGCGAAGAAGGCGAGTCAAGGTGAGTTGAGGAGCGTTAAGAACAAAAAACAGGAGAGATTTAGAAAAATTAGTGATTTTTTTTTTGGCTCTACGGTCTCATTTTTTTTTTACAGTTTGATTGGGGGTTTATGAGTTAAATGGAAACTGCTGAACAAATTCGAAAATGCGTGAAACAACTTTTTTGTAAAAGTACAAAACTAAGTTTTTTTCTTTCTGTTTTCTGCAAAATTCTTCTACACAGAATAGGTATTTAGATGTTTCGCCCAGAAATGGTTTTTTTTAAAAATTAGTTGTAAACGAATCGAGCGGGCTGTAGTGGCTATTTTGGGTTACTTTGGCTAACAACGATTGATAAAGTTATTCACGATAATCTTTTAAAAAGGCATCTGTCACAGGCTTTGGAGCTGAAACACAGTGACACATGAAATAATAAAAAAAAAATGACTAATTTTTTTTTTTTAAATTTGTGAACTTTTCTAACAAACAGAACAGTCGACTGTGTTTTGCAAAGAAACTTACTAATGTTTGCCTTATGAGATGTGAGGCTAAAAAAATCGTAAGTTGATGAGGTATTAAATAGTAAATATAAGTTCACAGAAGATCGTTTTTCTTAACTTGTAGCTGGTCAAAAGGTTAACTTAACTGGTGTGCTTAACTGAATACTGGCAACGAAATCTTCTGTCTATTTATTTATTTTCAAACAATTAAATTCGTAAATGATCACCAATTGTCTCACTCTTGGTGCGGTGAAAGCAGATGAGTCTCTGCACTAATTAATTAAAGTATGCTGTTTTAGAATTCGTTCTGCTTCGTACAAAATTCTTTTCTTTTTTTACAATTTCTAAAACCATATTGAGTTTCCTAGTTTTGGTATCTCACGACTTTGTAAAGCAAATAAACTCTCGTCCGTTAGTCGTTACTTACTGGAAGAATTGATTTTATTAATTGTTTTTTTACAGAAAGAACTGCAGTAAAAGTTTGAAAGAAAATGATACTTCAACAGACTTTTTAAAGGCATCTGTCACAAGTTTCAGTTTGCTTAGTAATTGCAGTTTTTACGTCATCGTTTCTACTAAAGTCTCGCAAAAATAATTTGACTACACTGGATCTGAAGCAATTACATTCAAAAAAATGTTGAGAGAGTCGCTTGTCGTCATATGTTTGACTGATCAAGATTTTTGATGCAAACGTATTTCAGTTGCAATCTTGTTCGAAAAAAATTTTGCAATTAAGAATTATTTTCTTCTATGTTGCTGTTTGCCGTGATTGTAATATAAAAGAAATCATCTGACAAGCAAAAATGCAGCAGGTTACTCAACTTTTGTCTTCTGTTATTGATGTCTTCATTCTGATATGGTGTTCAACCTTACAAATGCATATGAAACAAGTTAAATCTGACCTTTGCCACCTAGGTACTACTTACTCATTTTTAAATGCTCTCCACAACTTTTAAAAAAACTGCTGTTGATTTATCTTTTTTTTTTACTTTTATAATTACGTAGAATTAACAGTGATATTAGTGACAATGATAAGAGATAATCGGTACTTTAAGGTACGAATAATTGAAACATTATTACTGCTGCTAATAACGATTACCACCGACTTAGAATATTCTGCTTATACTGCAGAATATTTTTCACCTTTTCATAAGAGAAAATTGTTTTTATTCTTTTGTAAAAAGTCATAATATCGAAAAAAATATATGACTGATTAATGACAGATGATTAGTCATGCAGTTCGTGGAAGAGAAAAATGCTACATAAGTTGAATAACAAAACAGTGAACAAAGATGAACGTGAAGACGTGGGTAAACTTGACACTTGCGCCAGCAGTTTTGCTTCAATAGACCTTTCCGCACTCCTTATGTCACGATTGCAGTAATCTTCGTCACAGTACCATTGCTCATGTCCCATGACGTTTATATAACCTACCTGTAGATGAATTATAGACAAGTCAATCAGTGTGCAACATTTGCTTTTTAATTGTACAGCAGTGCATAATTTGTTACCAGTTAGGGTTAATGTTGCAGAACAACAAGGGTCACCTAAACTTGGAGTCTTAAATTTGATCTGATGCAGACTCAAAACGATCAGTAGAAAGAGTAATGCTTCTTACGTGTAAATTAAAATGATCTCAAGCATTCACTGAGGAAAACAGCGAAAATGCTAATAGTTAGTTGTATTAACTCGGTGGTAATAGCTTGTTGATCAACTTGTTGCAATTGAAGGTTTCGTGAGCGAGACTTAATAGAAGTGAGATGTTTCTTAAAATTTTCAAGACTTGAGACTGTAACTGTTCAAAAGTAGGCTTTAGGCTTTCAGAAACTGGTTAACGTGATGCTCACTTTTTTAAACTCATTGTTCACTGATACTGCTGCTAAACGTGCAGTAGATCGCAAATGATTTGCCTTGAAATTACCTGAACTTTAATATTGGCCATCGAGTCATTCACACTCACGCATCCTTTCGTATAATACGAGCTGGTGTCAGGAAAAACAACTTTATTAATTCGACAGAAAGTTCCAGAACATGTTGTATTGCTAAGTAGTGTGTCATTTTCAGATCTGGAGCTAACCACACATTTCACATTTCCACGTGCCACGGGAAACGGAAGATCGTGGTTGCAAAAATTCTAAAATTTCAATATATTGTCACGTTTATTGTTCTCATTGAAATAAACTTTTAAAATGTACCTGATGACAAATACATGAGGTTGTTATTTCATCAGGTGTTTGTTCCAGTGAATAACAACCACCAGAAAATAAGCCAGGCGATGGCCACATGGTAAATAAATTAACATCGAATGTATATTGCTGCAATTGACCACAATTTGCAGTCACCATTTCTTCCTCGGTACCGTCGACGCTTACAGTCTGCAGGAATGGATAACATAAAATTGTGGTTCCAAGAAATATGCATTCAATTCACACATTCAAAATAATTTTTCTTTATTTATGTCAAATTCTATTGAACATTTTAGCTTGATGATAAAGAAATTATTTTTATTTTAAATTGACGTTTTCTGAGTGACTTGACAAAACAGTCGTTCTTTTTTTTTTTCACTTTTTAAGTCTTGCAAGTAATCGTACTTTTTTTTCTTTCGAATTTTTACCTTTTTTTACACTTTTATAATAACGGTTCAATAGCTAAAGACGCTAAAAAATTATATTGGAAAAATTTCCCAAATTACAGCAGGTTTTGCAACTTTTGGCGTTAAAAAGATCTATATTTGAGTTTTCTAGCAAAACTTTTCAGTTGTAACTTTTTTAAAAAAAAAAACGAAACTGGTAAAATAAACACTGATTATAAGTCATAATGCTAGTAAATAGCATCAGATTTTTGTGAAACAGTTTTAAAAAATTATAAGTAAAAAAAAAAAGTTTCTTTATGTATTTTAAAATAGTTATTTGTACGATAAATATGCAATTTTTTATTGCTTGTAACTAGTAAAATTTTTTAAAAAGTATGTCAGACGATATTAGTTCTGCTGACAACTAATTTCTAACCAAATAATTAGTTGTTGATCAAGTGAATAGAATCACTCGACTAAACGTCTAAATACAAATCCTTTACAGCGATCAAATTTAGAACGTCAAACAACTAAGATTGGGTTTTAGTAGAAGCAAATAAAAGTCAAGAAACATATGAGGTTAAACTAAAGAAGTACTAAAAAACACCTTAAAACAACTGTAAGTTTGATAAGTTTTTTACTGAAAAATTACTAATAATTATACAAAAAATTTTCAACGTTTAATTAAATTTTTTTCAGTGTACACATAGCTACACATATTCAGCTGCAGATACTCATACATAACTGCATATGTATCTGCAGTTGATTAGGTGTAGCTTTAGCAAAGCTGAAATTTTGAATTGCCTATTAAGATAGTAAAGTTATTGAAACTTACTAGAAGACCGTCAAACCTTGACTATAAGATTATTTATAACTGCTTATTTAAATAAATGTTGATTTTAGAAGAGTCAAGATACAATCACATATTTGTCGATGCTTGGCAAAAAAGTCATGGAGATTTTGACCAGAAAGTCACTGTAAAGGTTTGGTTGCAAAAAGACCAAGTTTCTACTGCACCACTGTGATTGCCCTACCAAGAAGTGACCAGAAAAAAGCCATGAAACTGTTGAGGGTTAATCTTAGAATTTACATAATATAAATCTACGATAAATGGTCCTTTGAGTACCAATTTTTCATTGTTTGTTCACAACACTTTTTACAGTAACTTTGTAGTCAAAAACATCAGATAATTTAAATATAACATATTTTTTGAATAATGTTGCTAAGAGGCGAAAAGCATAAGTTTTCTGCAGAGCCACTGTTTAGCTAAAATTTTGATTAGTCGAAATAAACAGTAAATTTGGTAAATTAGATAAACTTTTAAACAGTGAACAACTTTTTATAATTAGCCTTAATAATATTAGAAACATTTAATAAATTTAAAAAAGTTATTCTTGAAGGGTAACTGAAGTAGATAAGCATCAAAAGTTCACTTAATCAACAAACTAAAATTAAATAATTTCTGAGGTAGAAGAGATCTTGCAGTAATTTGTCATTAATTTGCTGCTAATCTACTTTGTAGAAAAAACAGCACTTTTCTACTTCAATTAAGTTTTATATCTTTTGATAGCAACATCATTTTAAGGCAATTGCAGCGATTTCTGCAACCATATCTGCAACCAAGATTTTACTTTTTCTTTTTATAATTCTTATTGCAAAAAAACTTTCTTAATTTTGATAATTGCAATAATTATATTCCAACTTTATTGCGTGAGAAAAACAGTTAAACCGTGCAAAAAAACAACGATATCTGTGTTTTTCGACAGTGGAAATCGTCACTTTGGCAAACCAAAAAATCCAATGTTTAGAATTTTACGGCTTTTCCTTATTTCCTTATATTTCCTTGCAACACTACATACTCGCTTCTATTTTGAGATTTATTCACTGTCACCAAAAAAAAAAAAAACAATTTTGCTATTTAATAGAGTTATTAAATCAGAGTATTACCAAAAGCTAAAAGTTTTCTAATTTTTGATTACAGAAGAAAGAATTTTTTAAGTGGTTAATCTTGAAAACCAAAACAAAAGTTACGCAGAAACTACGAGAAAAAAAAAAGACAAACAAGTAGCAGCCTAAAGCTTTGGAACTTTTGTTTTTGTTTTGCAACTTACTGTTTTTAACTACACAATTACCAACGAGATACACAGTAACACTATAAGATATATGCTTATGTAGTTACATTCAAGTTACACTCATTATAAAATTTTTTTTATTCATTTGTCACTAGCTATTTAAATATTAAGGTGAAGTAAACTGCTTGAGATTGAAGCTCTTCAACCAACTTTTATTTAAAAAATATTATTTAAAATAAAAATATTCTTCTCAGCATTCACTTGTCGAGTAACAACCGTATTGAATATGCCTTTTCTTTAAGTCCTTAAATGTCTTCCTAAATCATTCGTTGCTTCTCTCAGCCGCTTGAGCTCAGATACCTACCTCGACTGATTTAATTGTTCAGCAACTGTCTAATTTGTTTTCACTAAGACGTTTTCACTAAGTGCTTAATTTCAGAAGGAAATAAAATGTAACAGTGATAAGTGTAGAAGAAATTTTATCTGGAATCTGTAAAGCTGTAATTGTTTGCTTCTTATCTTTTTT